ATGGGAGAAACAATAGCACCTATTACATAGGATTGTGCTTTTTAAATTCAGAGAGTCGATTCGTATAAAACACTTCAAACAGGAACTGTGAAATAGTAAGTGCACAAAAGGAGTTGGGTATTGTAGTTGCAATTGAATACAAGTTCACATTTGTACTATCTCTCTTCCCTTCAGAAAGCTCGAATATGCCACTGTGAGCTTAAAGGACCTTGACTTCCCCGCAGCTCTAGTTAACACACAAAACATACTGCATAGAAATTAGAATGTGAAAATAAGGGGTACAAGTCATCTATCAAGGTTTGAAGTGATAATTTTTAATATGTCTCGCTCCTCATGAACTAGAGAATTCATCTTACACAATAGAGTCTATCCTTGACTGTCTTTCACTTCATGCTTCTCATTGCTTTTAATTATTCTTTATCGTGCTCTAGTTCTTTCTGCCCTTTTTTTGTTGTTGTTCCTTCAGGCATTGGTGGTGGTAAGAATGGCCCCGCCACACCTTTCCTTCTCAGCAGAAGTCTGTGTGTGCCAACTATTGTGAAGGAAATGGAATGTATTACCGGCCTGGTATTATTGAAATTTCAAGGCCTTACCTTTTAAATGCTTTAGTCCCACAGGGGGAGGACTGCTGAGAATAACCTTCTTGCCTACTGTGCAAACATCTGTAAATGCACAGACACAGCAATTGTGGCAGTTCCCACCCAGCCAGAAACTGCAGAAATCCAGTACAGGGGCTGGATTGCAGCTGTTCACAGCTGTAGGGAGGGAGATCTTTCAGTCCTGTGCCTGCTGTTTTGCATTCCTTGTCTTGGGAGTTGTTTGTCTGTTTTCTTGTTTTCTTTGTATTGATTTTATAGGGAGAGGAAGAGAGGAGAATTGATAGAAACACATTAATCCATTAATCGGCTGCCCCCTACTGGTTGGGGATCAAGCCCACAGTCTGGGCATGTGTCCTGACCAGGAATCAAACCAGTGACCTCCTGGTTTATAGGTCCATGCTCAATTACTAAGCCGCACCAGCCAGCCTATATGTCTGTTTTCTGTGAGCAGTCCCCAGTGACCACATTAACAATGATTCTCCTCATGGTAAGGCGTTTGCCACACACACCAGCATTTGGGAGACGGACATGGAGGGCAAAAGAGTACCGGCCTTCTCATGGTCTTCCTACCCCAATTTCAACCCTTTCAGTAACCACCTTGTGTACCAGGCATGCAACTGTAGACTCAGTGCGGGTTCACGAGGGCCAGTCACCCAACAGACCCACTAGGAGCTGCTAAATCAAGTGGAGTAGCCTCCATGTCGATAACGTCTGCCCGCCCAACCTGCATTGTGCTTTCTCAATGTTGTCAGGAGACATGTATCTCTGCTCCTAGTGTATTCCTTTCTCGGGAAATAATCTAAAGTATGTCAAAGAGAAGAGACAACCAGGCCCAGCCCTGAGCAGTTTCATTGTTGAGCTGCCACAGTGACAGGTCAGGGAGAGGCCTGTAGGGGGAAGGGACTACTCTCGCAGAATAACAGTGCACAGAGCCCCAAGGGTGAAGGAGGGGAGAGACAGAGAAGAAAGGGCAACACTGCACCGGGGAGGTGGGGGCCCTTTCCTGACACTTCTTTTTTCTTTCTGGGGTCAACTTAGAATAAGCTTTGTGTTCAAATACATTTTCAGATCTTAACCCCAAACTGGTTTATTTCTTCTGGATACCGGTGCCTAATTTTAGCATTGAAAAGAACCCTCCTTTATTCATTTTTCTATCCTAATTTCTTTTTTCATTGTTCAAGTCAGTGAGTAAGAAAATCATCAAGACTAAGGTGTACATGTGAGCCACTAATGCTTATAAGCGCCCTTTATTTGAAGAATAACCCAAATTTAGTTATGTAAATATTTATAACTGGTGTCAGGATGCTCAGCCCAATGCTGAGGTGGGACAGCTATGTTCTGAGATGACATTTTGTAAGTGAAGATTTTCTCTAAATCAGAAAGAATGGGATTCCTGGATTCTGAGACCTTGTATTAGGGTTTGGCTAAGCAGTAGATTTAAAACAAACACTTCATACGAGACCATCCACCTGGTAGTTAGGTCAGAAGGTAGAGTCCCAACGCCCCTAATGCTATAGATTTCTGGTTTTCCATCAGGAGAGATTCAAAAACACACCCAGACCCAAACCCCACCCCCAGTCAATTGAATCAGAGTCTCTTGGATTAGGACATCAGGATTTTTTTCAAAGCTCCACAACCATGGTAATATGCAGCCAGAGTTGAGAACCTCTGCCCTCAATAGAGAACAGCTACTGGGTGGCTAGGGTGAATGGAATGAACACCTACTGGCGACCTAGGGGAATGGAATGAGTTAAGTTGGGGAGCAAAGCCTTAGGACAGGAAAACCTAGATCTTACAGAAGATGCCTTCATGTAATGAATTGGGGAAAGTAAAGGCGAAGTGCTTTTAAGTTTCTGCAGATAACCTCTGAAAATTAAGTCAAGAAAAGGAACCATGCAAATATTGTATGTTAATACTTTTAAATACTTATATATTTAATATACCTTAATAATAAGTAGTACAGTTTATGAATATGCATACAGACTTATTCACTCATTCATTTGTTCACTGAGCCCCTGCTGTGGGCTATAAATCATAACAGCATGCTCCCTCCAGGGGGAAGTTGGAAGTAATCACAATGGGATCTAAACCTAAGGAAGGGCATGTGAGCTGCACTTTGGAACTTGGCCCTATAGCCTACAATATCTCTGGGAAGACTCCTGTTGGGCCTTGAGGGAAGAGGTAGCTTTCTTCCTGCCAGCACACACCACCCATGATGCCAGAACATCGATGCATCCACTGTAGCCATTGTCATCAACATTATTCCTAGAAGTTTCAGAACAGGTGGCACAGGCCTGTGTATCTAATGAAGGATGCAAAAAGTGTCTGGGCAACTCCTTTATTTTGCGGGTCACATTGGGAAGACTATCTGTTTGCACAAAGATGGACTTGGTATTTCATTTCTTGTGAGTAAGTAACAAGCTGTTACGTACACAATGGGTGTACTTCTCTGCAAACTGGAAACATAGTCATTGATGGATCTGATGTTTACTTGTCTCCTCTGTTACCTTAGATTGAAGTCACTGAAAATTTCAGCCTATACATCAGGAGAATGGCACGCATGTGCCAAGGGACAGGGGCCAAAATGGCAAGTGCAGTTTTTTGGGAGGTGGTATACAAAGTTCCATAAAGTGACTAGACTCAGTGATATCAGGGAGTCCAGTTGGTTTTCATGGGGAGGGTAAGAATGTGTAGTCAGAAGCACAAGGAGGGATGGTGGAGGTTTGAATTGGAGAAAGAAAGGAGGGAAGCTTTGATAGTGAGGAAGGAGAAAAAAAATTACACAAAACCAGTTTGTCAGGAGAAATGGGAGATGCCTGAAGGGTCCCCTTGGATGAGCCACCATTGCTCAGGATCCAAGCCTCAGCCATGGAATAAGTATCTTTCAGTGTACCTTGCTTTTGTTCTAGTGCTTTGCTGTTTATAAAATGCCTGAGTGTTCATTGACTCCATGAATTCTCAAAATAACCCCAACAAATGTTACTGAAATCAATATATAGATAAGGAAAGATGAAGACACTAAAGCTCACAGTGGCTGAATGACATGCCCAAAATCACGCAGCCAGTGAAAAAGCTGAGGTCAATCTCCAGTTTGGATATTGAGCTCCAAATCCATTAGACTATGTTGTCAAGATATTACAGCACAACTGGATCCCAATCCCAGCACATACCTGAACGGGTATCTGATTCCACACATAGCATGTGTCTCTCTGTGCCTTTGAAGTTGTATTCCTCACATTTCCTGCACTTCTGCTTATCTTATAAGACTTATAATGGTACATTTATTCTCCCAAATATGAATGATCATCAAATGGAGTTTGGGAATTTTCTAAAATCTGGATTAAAAGAAATACTGAATTTCTACTCTCTATACCTGCTGATATCTATAGCACTGACATTCTGAAATACACATTTTCCCATGTTTTTTGCCCCAGTCCATTAGAGTTTTCAATTCTCAGATCTCCCAAGAGATAAGAAAGCAGACGCTTATCATATTCAGTGATAACTTCTCTCTCACTTTAGGAAGTCAGACACCCCAGAATGGGTTAATTTGACAGAATAAGAAAAACATTAGACACAAGAGAAGGACATTTTCCTGTAGAGGCTCATTTCATTCTATATACCATTTCCCTGGGATATCTGCCAATTGTTAGCAAGAAGAGTAATGTTATCCATGTTTTAAAATATCACTCTTGAGTATTATGGAGATAAATAGCTAAATGATGGAAAATACCTTTCGTTTGAGTCAATAGTTTAGGGGTAGAAAAAGCTCAAATACAGATATGTTGGATGATATGAGAAAAATCAATCAACTATGAGTGAAAAATCATTTCAACTATGAGTGGAAAATTCTATATTCCTATAGGTACTCTTAAAAAGAGTACCCTTTTGCATCAACACTAGAAAGGAGAGCTATGTCCATCTATGCCATGACCTTCATAGCGAAGTTCAAGGATCCAAAGGAGGGGCCGACACACAAATGAAAATGATATACAAGAAATATGAATTTAAAAGGCATTGGGGCCTCTTTCTTGAAGAGACACACTGACTCCTGGCCTGGTCTACTATTTATTTACTTGAAAACACATTTGACCTTTAACAACGCATACAGGCATATCAAAGGTAGAGTTTGGTAAATAGTAAAAGGATTATCAGGTTGAGGAATTGCTTTGAGAAACCATTATCTTAACAGGAAACAATCAGTGCTTAGCTTCAGCCCTGCTAACACTCAAGGTCCATGGGCTTTCCATGTTCCTTGGTGCACTGACAGTATTGGCAAGTGGTGATTTCCCACACATCTGTAACAGTGAGAGAACTGCATGTGATTTATTTGCAAGCCCAGAAATTTTCTACTTGGAAACTTACAAAGGGAAAAGAAAATTTTCTGTTGTTCTGCTGCAGGACCCATGCAAGAGACCATCTACGACTTCTGGAGGATGGTGTGGCATGAAAACACGGCGAGCATAATAATGGTGACCAACCTCGTGGAAGTGGGCAGGGTAAGTGAGACACCAGCATATCCATTTGTTCCTTGCTTTGTTGGTAACATAAAGTAAGGCCAGAGCAAGCTTCTGGAGCAGTATTTGGTATACTCCAGAAAACATTAACTACTACAGCTCCTCCTACTGCTTGCTGCTTTAGCTTATAAATTATCAGTAAACATAATCTGAATTGCTTTCATTTGTCGCAAGAGCGACAGGAAAGGCAATCAATATTTAAAAGCAGTTGTTATCTGGCTCTGTTGAGCACACAAAAACACCTCTACGTATGAATGTTGGCTGTTGGGTATCAGAACCCCCGGGTGCTGCATTAGACATAACTGCATTCCTTAATTCAGGAAAACTAACTCTAGATATGGTGTACAATGCTGGATCTTGTATGCAGTTGGTTGGAGCACTGTCCCATGCATGGGAAACTCATCGTGGGTCAGGGCACGTAAGGAGGCAGTTGATAGATGTAGCTCTCACCTCTCAATCTCTCTCTCTCTCTCTCTCTCTCTCTCTCTCTCTCTCTCTCTCTCTCTTTCTCTCTCTCTCTCTTCTTTCTTCCCTCTCTAATATCAACAATAAATTTTTTAAATCTATAAAACAAAAAAGGCCATGAAGCAGTGGTGTCTCTGTTCCTTCCATCTGGCACTTAGACGGTCCCATGCAGGGTAAAGACTTGGGTTGTTTTTTTTTTTTTTTTTTTTATGGAAACTATTCCTTCTGACAAATAAACATAGTAACTCCAGCTAAAAGGGTGCAACTGAAGGGAAGAGAGTGACTAGGTTTCAGCTTTATCCATAAATGGAAGCCCATAGGCTTTTTTTTTTTTTTTTAATCCTTCTAAATCCTTACCAGGTCTGTGGAGATGTGGTAAGCTCTGAAGAGTCCCCACCTCATTACCATCAGCCCCTTGGATGTGTCTGTCTTCAATTAGTCATGAATGTAATGGCATCTGCCCTTGAGATGTCTGGCATGATTGAGAAGTTTTGACAGGAGGGCACATCCCCTCCAGGACCAGGCGCTGACCTTTTCCCATTGTTCATGCTAGAGACGCCTTCCCATTTTCCATGCTTACAAACAGCAGCAAGAAAACCACCGAAGAAATCAAAATGACATGGTTTTCCAGGGCAGCAACTACCTGCTTGCATGTTTACTGCACATGGTGTGTCCTTCATGAATTAGGCATGAGCGAGCTGGCTGCCCGTTTGTTTACACAGACTTGCTGCCATTCATTAGTCAGCGCTGGGAACCGCTTCCCCCTGATTTCTGCCCTGAAGCGGTCTGCAGCAGGCGGCTGTAATTGCCAGTGTTGGAGCCACTGGGAGCCCTTCCCTGTCGCAGCACCTGGTGCAGAAGACACAGACGCTGCACTTCCCTCCAGCAGGGTCCCCGGCGCATCTGCCAGGACCTGTCATTATCTGAGACTTCCTTGTCACCACTGAGCATCCCCTTTCAGCCCGCGTGTTCTGGGATGGGACCCTTGTCAGTTTCCCTGGCACCTGCCCAAAGGCTGCACACCTGGCATGTGAGCTGCACTGGAATGTGCTATGATTGTTTTCCCTCTTTAATGAACCCACCTGAGGGACATGTAACTTCTCATCCAGGCGCCAGTTTCTCAGGCACTCCCACTTACACTGTTGGTGTGGAGATGCACAAGCTCTGTTGTGTTGAACTAATCCATCTGCCAAAAGTCTTCTAACCAAATCTGGGGGACTCCCCAAGGAGGTTTTGCGCCGGTAATTTAAGCTAATGATTTCTAAACATATTTAGTCAGTTTTATGAAGACCTCATTAGAGTGTGACTGTATGTTAAAAATCCAAATAAGATCTCATAGTCGTGTAGGGAAATTATTGTGGCCTTGCTCTGAGTAGTTTTTATAACAGGTGACGCAGTGTTTTTGGAGCTAAAAGAAGAAGGAACTGAAATGTTAACCCCTATCAATATAGATAGAGGATTGGCGGGAACCACCTAAATGGATGCTTTAAAGATTATTTCCCACCCAGAGAGGTTGGCATAATTCCCTTCCTAACATTTGTCACTAAAAGAGTAATAAAGGCCCTGACCAGTTTGGCTCAGTGGATAGAGCGTTGGCCTGCAGACTAAAGGGTCCTACGTTTGATTCCAAACAAGGGTATGTACCTTGGTTGCGGGTACATCCCCAGTAGGGGGTGTGCAAAGGGACATTTACTAGAAGAAAATTAGGAGCTTAGGGTGTTGATGTGAAGAATAAGGCTTACACACAGACAGGGGAAAGACACCAACACCAGGGGGCCAGTGAGTAGGCGGGCCTCACAGCCAGGCAGTCTGGTCATGGTGCTGATGCAGCGAGGATGAGCACCAACAATTTCCAGGCTTTCTCACTGTGTTCAGGGTTCAGAACAGAGCATCTGACTCCTCCAGATTGGTTCATGTGCTCATTCATCCCTTGCTCTCCAGGGCCCCTAATTGATAAGCTATCCCTTGAGGAAGAAGTAGTCCCCAAAAGGACAACAAGGACATATTTGGAAGGATGAATGGATACAGGGATGTTGAGTGACCAGCATTCACTAGGAATGGTGGGACAGAAAGCAGTCTGTAGGGTCAAGGCAAGAGTAGAAAACACAAATGAGTAGACTGAGTTCAATCTTATCAGAAGTTTAGCTGAGAAAAGAAGAGAAAGAAATAAACAGAAAAGCATTTACAATCAAAGTATATTTTTAAGGTGAGAGACCTTTGAAAATTGTATGTGCTACAGAAAGAATCAGTAGAAAGGGAGAGATGAACACCTTAGAAGGCAGACCGCTGAGGGGAAGTTTTCCATGGAGGCAGAGTGCAAATCTGTAGTTAAGCCTTAGAAGGGAAACATCTTTCTGACCTGGAGAACAGAGACAGGTGAGGATGCAGTGAAATCAATGTAACCAAACCAAATGAACAACACACTTAGAATGGCACCCTCTCCTGACAACCTCAGTTTCCTAGAAAGAAAAAAAAAAAAAAGCAGTGCCGTGGCCTGAGACTTGGGGAGATAGCTATGTTATGGAGGCGTCAAGAGCACGGGTGAAGGGTTAGCAGGAGCGGGAGCTAGCCTGCTCCTCTCTTAAGAGATAAGAATAGGGGAAGAGCCTAAACCGGTTTGGCTCAGTGGATAGAGCGTCAGCCTAAAGACTGAAAGGTCTCAGTTTCGATTCCGGTCAAGAGCATGTACCTTGGTTGCGGGCACATCCCCAGTAGGGGGTGTGCAAGAGGCAGCTGATGGATGATTCTCTCTCATCAATGTTTCTAATTCTCTATCCCTCACTCTTCCTCTCTGTAAAAAATCAATTATATATATATATATATATATATATATATATATATATATATATATGCTTTTTTTTTTTTTAAGAGTAGGGGAATAGGGGAAGATGCAACCCAGACTCAGTCAATGGCAGCCGGACCTGGGGGATGGGAGTCCTGGGACAACAGTAGCCAGAGTCCTCACAGAACTGACTCTGAGGGGGACAGGTCACCACAGCTCGGGCTGAATGTGAGCATTTCTAAGTGAACTCTCACCTCTGAGCCTTCGTTTGCACATCCCTAAAATAAAGGGAAATTGGCTGAATGAACCCTAAAATCTCATGTTTATATGAAGAATTTCTGTTTGTTGTTTTCATTTAAATAACAAGCGCATCTGCAGCCCAGTCACGTCTTAAATGCACAGGCCTCCGGACCCTCCTGGCACTGACTGTGTCTGTTCTGAATATCAGCCGTGGGAAAAAAGCATGGAGCCTGGATTTTCTAAAAGGAATAAGTCAGTAAAAAGACATGTGTGCCCTTTTCCTCACGAGAAGGCCGTCCACTTTTATTTCTTCTGCACTAAACACATTTTATAGAAAATCTAGAGCAGACTATTGCAGTGTGTGATTAGGTACCAACGAGATGAATTCTGTCGGTGTCCTATCTACATTTCACTTATACGACTGTAAAAGATGCTCAGTCTCTAATTTATAGACCTTCCTTTGAAAATGAGCTAATCTGACTGCAGTAAATTATGATTTTGAGAAAAATACCTTCTTTTCCAAAGTTCTCAAAATTGCTTATCACAATTCACTGGTTTATCAGCTGGCACCACAGAGCAATCTTACCTTCCCAGCATTTTCCTGTGTCTGGAAGCGAGGATCAGCAGTCCCGCACCTGCTTCCTGCCTGCTGCTGGGAGGGTCTGTGGGGAGAACAGGGTCCCTTGGGAGAACTCTCCCAATCATCTAATAGCCATGACTCTGTATACCCGCCGTGTTCTGTATAACGGCAAGTGTGGCTTTTGCATCTAGAAAACCTCCTTCTGCACAGAAAACTTCTTTTACACACACCCCAAAATCAATAGAGTCATCATCATCACCTAATGTCCATTAAGCTAATTTGGATAGCAAATCTATTTCATTGAAAGGTAAACTGTGGGGTGAAAAATATGCAAAAACAGACACAGTAAACAAGTTTATTGAAGTAGGCAACACTTTATTGATTACCAAATTGGGTGGTGATTTTGAAAAAATGTGAGACTAAAGGCAAACAAATACTTTCAAAATAAAGCAAAGAGAAAACCACATAACTTTATTCTTTAATCTTTCTGAAGGCTTAATGGAGTGTTTTAAATTAATTACTAAGAAATGCATTTTAAAGCTTAAAGTAATGGGGTTTCTTATGTAAAACTCTGTATCTGTAATGCTAATCCCAGCTTCTGCAAAATGTTCTCATTGTGTCCTTGCAAATAAATGTGGTGTGTGTGTGTGTGTGTGTGTGTGTGTATGTAACATACATGCATTTGTTAAGGCTACTTATTCCCCTGCCTCACATTTTCTCACATGGGTAACCAGACTAGATTCTTAACAATTTCCACATTTTCTGTACCTGATAAAAGGTTCTTACCATATATGTGCATCACACACATACTTGAGCTCCCTTACTCACACATCCTTGGGCACTCAGAAATGCTCTTTCCTTGTTGGGAACAGGGAAGTGCTATTTGTTCTGAGTGCAGACCATTGTCTCCTTTTC